TTTGTAAAGTCAAATATCTCAATTATTGCTTGAGATATTCAATTGAAATTTAAAATACTTTTTTATAGTAATAATGTACATCAGTTTGCAAAATTGTAAAATTTGTACCTTTTCTGTCAAATTTATGTATTCATAGGTAATTAGTATTATTATACTCAATAAAACACCCTTGTGACATTACCTTCCGAATAGTCAAGCCAATACTGTATAATTAGACTCTCTCTAAGGCCTATAACATGAATTTATAAAAAAAAATTAGCCCTTTTGTGAACTTAAAAAATTTAACATTATCAAGGCTCTTTTACTATCAAGCACTTAGAATAGTCGAGCGTGCTGTCCTACCGACAGCTCTTGTTTATATGTTGTGGTAAAACTGCAATTGTTAGACTATAAGTATTTATCTATAAATAGAAACAACGCAGACAGTGGAAGTAAGCAAAAGTAAGCCACCACTACCACCAAATTCATTATGGGTAAGAACGCCGTCACCATCATTAAGACCAGCATCACCTCCAACCCAAGCAAGGTCACTGACAGCATCACCTTCACCATCAGATAGTGGAGTTGTAGTGACATCTATAAGGTAGAGGAAGAGGAGTGGCGAACCACTCATATACTGAACAGGCCAGTATGGCGTACGGAGGCTCCAGAGGAGAGCAATAGGCAGATGATTGTTATTGCTTGTGAAAGAAACTCTATCCTGAAAGCAATGGGGAAAAAGTCTTTCAAAACAGTGTACAAGAAAGTTTTGTGTACAAGATGTTTACCTAGAACTATAAAGACTTTGTTGCACAAGTTATATAATACATGCTGCAACATAGCAGATTTTATGCCCCCAAAGGGCGGCATATTAAAATCGCACCGTCTGTCCGTCCCCACTTCATTTGTGTCAGGACTGTAACTTTGTCATACATTGAGGGATTTTAAAATAACTTGGCACAAATGTTTACCACCAGAAGACGATGTGTCGCGTTCAGTAATCACATCCCCACCTCGAGGTCAAGGTCACACTAACATTTTGAAGTTTCACTTTATCACAATTAGAGTTTATAGGTACACACATGTGTGTCCAGACTATAACTTTGTCATGCATGGAGGGATTTTAGAATAACTTGGCATAAATGTCTACCACATCAAGACAATGTGTCACATCCAATAATCATGTCCCTACCTCAAAGGTCAAGGTCATTCAACCATTTTGTTTTGTTTCATTTTATCACAATTAGGGTTTATAGGTACACACAATCGTGTCTGAACTGTAACTTTGTCATGCATCGAAGGATTTTAATATAACTAGGCATAAATGTCTACCACATAGGGACGACCTCTTTAAACCCATGTCCCTACCTTCAAGGTCAAGGTCACACTTATAGTTTGAGGTTACTTATTCTTTCGAGAAGAGTGTGAAGTAACTCATGTCTGTACAGTAATTTTGTCTTGCATGGAAGCATTTTAAAATAAAATGGCACAAATGTCAATGTGTCACGGCTAAGGCTCATGTCTGTCTGTTTGTCTCTGTGTCCCCACTTACACAACAATCATGTCCAGACTGTAACTTTGTCATGCAGTGAGGGATTTTGAAATAACCTTGCACAAATGTCTATCTCATTCTGTCTTGTCCAGGAAACAAGGTCAAGGTCACACTTATATTTTGAAGGTTCACGCTATCACAATTAGAGATTACAGGTACAATAAAACAAAGATCAATATTAAGCAATTAGTTACTTTCATTCTCTATTCTTTTCATAATACCTGCATGCTTAAGAAACCTTATCCGGGGTATTCGTTACTTGGATGACAGCTCTTGTTACAATTTATAAAACATTTTGCTTGTCAAAATTATTGTGAATCCCAATTGTTTTCGGAAATATTTTTTTCTCTGTGAAAAGCAATGGTGTTTCCAGCCCATATTAACATCAATTGATAAAATTGATGTCAAAAGAAAATAGCACATTATTCTCTTTATAAAGGGCCATTTAATCTGCCAAGAATGTTTTTATCAATAGAATAAAGTAATTTTGCTGTATTATGCATTTATTATGAAAAATACTAGACTGTTGTTTGTTTAAGAAATTTTCATATGTGCAAATGACTCTCCATTACATTTCATGTTTCAATAATGTACATTGTAACTTTACACACAAGTGACTTGTAATTAACCCTAAAAAAGGAAACTTCATACACAGTTAATACTTTCAATGTTAGGAGAGTATTTTAAAAAATTTAAAAAAAAAAATTGTTACAGCAAGCAACTTATTTGCATCCAGATAGTTTAGTGGTAGAACAGCTGTTACTTTGTAACAGAAGGCCTGGGTTCAAATCCCAGTTTGGATTTCATTGTTTTGTTGTTAACAATTGTCTAATTCATTTTGGAAATATCAAATTAATCATTATAATATACTTCACTGTTCAATTCCGCACTTCCTGTTTTGTCAAGTATGACAATTTTAAACTTCTAGATTGTTGTTGTATTAGTTTCTCACTATGTTATTTTATAAAGTTTAAGGTTTATTTGTTTACCATGTGCAGCTGTAACTACTATTCTGAAAGATAAAAGAACTGACTCACCATTCAATTTGAAATAAGATATTTCTCATTTAGACACTGTGCTGTATATTTACATGTACATTGGACCTGCAATAATGTACTAAAAATGACTTGGAATATTGTGATAAATACATAAAGTAATTGCTGTTTTTGTTACTGTGAATATAGAGAATACATGGTTGATGTTGGTGTGAAGAATGTTTAAAGCTAGATACACAGTCAGTAGCTGCAGCTTTTCATTTTCATTATCGGAAATTATCTGGTTATGCTTTTCAAGACAGTTCAAGATGGATGTTATAAATTGTATATTAAATTTGAACTGAGTGAAAATATATTCCATATCTCACTCAAACGGGAAAAATTTTTTTAGTACTTGCAATGACTAACCAGTTTAAGAATATTATATCGAAATTATTTAAGATATATAAAATGAAGTTTTACTTTATTTAAGTCTCATTACAATGATAAAAATGATAAAATTTTGTAAAACTGGTAGTTATGTGCAATATTGACAAATTCTATGTCCAATTATGTTCAGTCCATGGCTAGCAATTTTCCCCAATATAAAATGATTTAAATGTTTTACAGTTAATATATGTAGCTGTAGCAAATGTGCAGAATTTAAACACTATGTTGCTTTAGAACATCAGCTTCTGAATACGGGTGTATACATGTACTTATGAGGTCTTCATGAGATACCTTCGTCAATTTGTTACTGAAGGGTTTGTAGTCATCTATTTCAATTTATTTTTTAAGAGAAATGTCATAGCCAATGCTTGATAAGTTTTGCTGGTACCATACCGTTTGACCACTAAACAATTTTAGTAACGGGTCTGAAAATTATGAATGTCTTCAATGCTTGGGATTCGCTATAATTTTGCTCATATTTTTTAACCCATTACAGTAGCAAATTCATATAATATGTCCTATATAATTATAACACTCTGATATCATTTTATCAAGCACTGTGTTGGCTGCAGGTTGCAAGTAAAAATGTTGAATTCAGCAGTACTTTCCAGTAAAATAATTACACTAATTTGTAAGTACATCTTACTAGATACAAACAAATATTTAAAACAAAAATAATTGATTTCAATCATCAACAAAGAAATCTTAATAAGTTGTACTGTAAGCTGTGCTTCTGTTACTACATACTAAGTATTAATTTTGCTTTCATTTCTATGCCTTGACCATGAATTGCAGAAGAATTATTTAAACTGACCACATTTCTGATCCGCATAATTATGTGAAAAGAAATAAATGGAATTTCATAAAATCTGTTCAGATCAATGTTATTGATGTTGTTTGTCTATTCAAGAATTAGATGTGCATGGTATGGATCTTTATAAAAACATATTTCTTTTTCAGCATTTCAAGGATGGCCAACCCACAGAACTACATCCTGACCCTGATCCAGCTCGACCCTTTGACAAGCCGACACATGGACGTCCATCCCCAAGACGAGGCATTTAAACTTTGATGAAGAGCAATCTAGCATATCAGTGCCAGAAGCAGAGATTATGTAATTTACAATGTTACTGTATTTTATGATGACTGTTGCAACTGTTTCAGTGTAGACATTTTTTCCTGGCTTTAAAATGGCTAATTACAGATTTTGCTAAGAATGCCTAGCTAAGTTTACGTTTATTTAAAGAAAATAAATGCTGAATGTTTCAGACTTTAGCTCAAAGTTAAACAATAAAAATTATTTTTTAAAACCTACAAAAATTTATATCCTGTGACTATTTGGTTTTTGTTTTGTTAATCTATTCTGTTTATTTCATTTTCTTAAAAGTTATTTATGTATGTATCACATATAATAGAATAGAATAGGCTGTACCATTATCCAGTATAGTACAGCAAATTAACTTTCGTCAATACTGTAAAAATGTTCATATAAATTTAACAGTCAAGATTTGTATGAAAGTCTATTTAAGTCATAGTAACTGCTATGTATATGTAAGTGTTCATTTGTGCTATTCTTCAGAAATTAGAATCTTTGACGGAAGTGATAACACATAATTTTTAAGAAATACAGCAATTTTATTGGATGACAAGTAAAGTTGGACACTAATGATGTAGTAACTACTATTAATGTGTAGGGGAAGTGTTTTAGTAGTTATTGTTCAAATGGTTTATGTTATAATTCCTTTGATTGTTTTATTCCATGTAAAAAGTTTTCTGATTTCTAAGCAGTTTCCTTCAGAGTGGATGTATAGGGATCTGATGTTGTACAAAGAAATTCAGGTATTTTTGAATAAGTTTACTACATGTACACACAACAGGAGTACATTTTGCAGACCAGTAAAGTAGTATGTTAATTTTTGCTATTGAGGCAATATTTGATTCATCCTATATTATTAACTTGATATTATTTACTAATATGCACTTTTTAGCTGGTGAATACGATGTGATATGTACTGAAAAAATTAATATTGACTGAGGCAATAGCAAAGGTCAATATTAATTTTGCAGTACATATCACATCATATTTACCAGCTAAAAAGTACATTATCTGTTTTATTATATAATTCATGAATAATTTTATAAGGCTTATCAAAACTGCCATTCAATATGAAGGAGATCAACATTTCTTCAGCTCGTTACTTTTTTTTTTTTTTCATTACTAGAGCCTATATTTAAGAGCGCATAGGAACACTTAATTTCAATTTTTTTTATGCCCCCACTTTAGTGGCAGGCATTTAGATCTACCCTTGTCCGCCCTTCCTTCCCTCCGTTCTCTTTTGTGTCGCAGGTAACTCAAAAAGTATTTGACCTAGAGTCATGAAACTTTACACTTATGTTGATCAGGATGTGTAGTTGTGCACCTGGGTATTTTCGTCTGGATATTTTTAGTATTTTTAGAGTTATTTCCCTTGACTTAGTAAAATTTTGCAATTTTCAACTTGTGTCGCATGTTACTCTAAAGGTATTTGACCTAGAGTCATGAAACTTTACAGGAATGTTGATCAGCATTAGTATTTGTGCACCTGGGTATTTTCGTCTGGATATTTATAGTATTTTTAGAGTTATTGCCCTTGACTTAGAAAATTTTTGCCATTTTCAACTTGTGTCGCATGAAACTCAAAAAGGATTTGACATAGAGTCATTAAACCTTACGGGAAGGTCGCTCAGCATATTTAGTTTTGCACCTGGGGTTTCGCTTGTGGATTTATCCAGTATTTGTAGAGTTATTTTCATTGACTTAGTAAAAACCGTTTCATTATGTTGTTATTTGTTCCTTGAGTTCAACCAACTTAGGAATAATGATCAATATCACTAAATTACAGGAATAATGATTCACATCACTGTGAAGTTACGCACCTGGGACTTTGCATGTAGATTTATTTCAGTTTTGTTAGAGTTATTGCCCTTGACTTACAGTAGTATAAATTTGCATTTTTTAACTTGTTCTTGCATAGCTCAAAAAGTATTTCACTTGTAGGCCTGAAAGTTTACAAGAATGTTGGTCAGCATGTGTACTTATGCACCTTAGCGTTTGCTTGTGGATTTATTCAGTATTTGTACAGTTCTTGCCCTTTACTTAGTAAAAGATTTTTAGTTTTCAAAAAATATTTGACCTAGAGTCATAAGATTGACAGAACAGTGGCGCGGTGGGGGCACCCATGTCCTATGGACACATTTCTAGTTTACTGTAAAGACAGTAACTAAAACAAACTAATATGACTTTTATGTGCGAGTCACCTAACTTTTTTTTTTTCAGAATAATAATAATAAACTTGGTGTGACATCACGTCATTGTTTTGCGTCTTAAGGGGATTTCCAGAAAATCTATTTTTAGGGAAAAAATGGTGAATATACTCTGATATTGACCTGTTAATTTTTACAAAAAGTTGCATCTTAGCCAATCAAGGAAAGGCATTTCAAAGCTATTTATAGATTATATAATAATGCCTTTTATTGGTGATTCAAGTCAATAATAGAAAAAATAACACACATTAATTTAATGTGTATTAAAAAATACACAAAATATATTTTCATTTTGTTATTTTATAATAATAACATCAATAACATTCTTTAAAGATATTATGCAAGAAGTACTTGCAGTCACTTTTTATACAATAATTACATCATAACATCTTGTCATTAAAAAATAATGTATTATATTATTCCAGATCAGTAGATATCCTGCATGGAAGCCTCTTCAAACACTAATATTCCAGCTACCAGTAGTAATAAGTGTGAAGAACAACAAACATCAGGTGACCGGCCCTGCCAGATGGAAGCAGACAGAATGGGAGATACTTTTATTGGTAATTGTTGTTTTTTTTTCATCTATATATGTAATGTGGCAACCAGCACAGTACTGATTTACCAAAGTGTTGTGCGTGACAAATTTGCTACATTATTTTTACTCTTTTCTCATAAATGGTTATAAGTGTTGACAGTAAATGTGAACAAGTTTCTGAAACAATTCATTCATAATTTTCTGATCTGGAACAATATTATAAGTTATGCTTTTTGACCTCTCTACTAACCATTCTTTAGAATTAGGTTGTGATATAGTTGATAGTTCTTGAGTATATGCATTAACCTGTGATATGCATAATTGTGACCATTGATGCTTTCAATATCTGTGATGTACTTTGTGAAAGATTGTCTGTGTATGGAAACTTAAGATTGCCACATCCTTTATCTTGTCTGGGCATGTGCTGTGGAGTAATCAGAGGTGCCTGAAACAAAATAAATACCATTCTTAAAATCTATATTTACTTGATAAACTTGAACACATGTTAAAATTGTAAAAATCATTTCATCACATGACATGGCTCATTTTCCATGAAATATAACCATTTATTACATAAACAGCGGCACACGAGTGTAGTAAATCCATATAAAGAAAAAACGATTTTACACTAGTGTAATAACACTTTGACAAGATGTCATTTGCGCTATATATAAACATAGCGTTAAAGCGTGCTAATGTTAGTGTTACACTATAGGTGCGTCAATGATAAATGACTTTTTTTAACAGTTTACAGGTCTTATTCTATATAATTATGTAATAAATAGAATATTATAGTGGTGTAGATTCAATACTAAATTTATTGAACTCGTTTATTCAACTTGTACAATAAGTTTAGTATTAAACCTACACTCATTCAATATCTTCTATTTATCACATAAACCGCAGCACAGGTGCATAACATAGCCATTTAATAAATATGATATTACAATCTAGTGCATTACTCTTGGATGTTGGGTTATATATATAAAGTGTTGAAAAACACTAATGTTAGTGCTCGCCATTTTTTTTAAGCCAATCACCGACGAGGATTTTTCAAATTTTCAGGTTTCAAATCTTAATAGAACAGATTTTATATAAACTGGACGTTTTATATTATAAAACGCAAGTGGGCGGAGCTAAGTTTCGAAGAGCGCTAAAGTGCAATATACGCATGTGCAGAGATCTTGAAGTTTACTCCTACTAATCAATATTTATGCATCATGTTTTTTCCGTACACGCACATGTATATCGTCACTACGGCATAGAAGTAAAAAAAAGAGGTTCATTGAAATGAAAACAGGCAAAATAACAGTAAAAATGTTTTATTACTTACGGAACCAGTATCATTTTATAATTTCCAAATAAAAAGTTCACTTTATTCCAACAAAGTATGTATGTAATATTTCTTACTTTTATGTAAATATTACAGCCTGTGCCGCTGCAAAACCGAAAGAAGGGTGTTTTTATGAATTTTACATTTATTTTTGACAATATACTGCCATTTGTCCGAAGATGATATGTATATGAACATATTAAATATGTATGATGCATATATAATCAAGCCAAAGGTTCATTTCAGCCCGAAAAATATGTCGAGGTGACGGGCGAGGCAAGACATGTCGATTTTTGTAGCTTATTGTGAAGTTGCAGTACATGAAAATCGGGCACATAACAAATCAGCACATAAATAAAACATTCTAGTGTTCCGAGGTTTACATCTTTTCTACGTGTCATACCTCATTTCCTTATTACAATGAAACTTTACTGCATTGTTATCCATCGCTGGTTTGTTTTTAGCAGAGAATGACCTGTGCATGTTCAAAGAGGGTACTGTTTGAGAATATTTCGCAAAGAGGGTACCGATATGGATATGCACCGTGATATTGTCTGTTTTACCTAGACAGAATGCGGGAATTAGCTATGCAAAACACGTGACCCGAAAATGTGTACCACTACCGTCTTCCAAATAAGGTTATACCCATTTAGGCTATCGTGTGACGTCACGCAGTGTGTTGGGTGGAAAAAAATGGGCGGAGCACTAAGCCGGTTAGAGTGCATATTGGATGTTCTTCGTAAATAAGAAAGCTACAGTCGCTTCACAAGCTCCGCTCCTTTTTAGCTCGACTATACGAAGTATATGGAGAGCTGTCCTACTCGCCCCGGCGTCGGCGTCCAGATTTCAGATTAAAGTTTTGGTGCAGTAAAATATTTTTCACTATAACTTTGTCATTTCTAAAGGTATCAACTTCAAACTTCAAATATATGTTCCTTATCATCAACCACACCTTATGTGACAAGGTTCATAACTCTAGCACCAATATTTTCAGATTTATCTCCCCTTGAACTTAGAATTTTCCTTAAAAAAATACTATTTTTTACTGTTACTTCTTTATTTCAAATATATGTACCTTATCATCATCCCCATCTTATGTGACAAGGTTCATAACTCTAGCACCAATATTTTCAGATTTATCTCCCCTTGAACTTAGAATTTTCCTTAAAAAATACTATTTTTTACTGTTACTTCTTTAATTCTTAAGGGATCAACCTCATACTTCAAATATATGTACCTTATCATCATCCCCATCTTATGCGACAAGGTTCATAACTTTAGCACCAATATTGCAAGATTTATCTCCCCTTGAACTTAGAATTTTCTTTAAAAAATATTATTTTTTACTGTAACTTATTTATTTCTAAAGGGATCAATTTCATACTTTAAATAAATGTACCTTATCATCATCCACATCTTATGTGACAAGGTTCATAACTCTAGCACCAATATTGCAAGAATTATCTCCTCATCAACTTAGATTTTTTTACTAGAAAAATGTTATTTTTTACTATTACTTTTTTAGTTTTAAAGGTATCTACCTCAAACTTCAAATACTTATTCCTTATAATCAATTATATTTTATGTGACAATGTTCATAACTCTTGAAGTAATTTTTACAGATTTATTTCTCTTTGAACTTGGGATTTTCTTTAAGAAATATTATAACTTTGTTACTTTTTAAGGTACTACTTCAAACTTCAAATATATACTTCTTATCATTACATACATGTTGTGTGACAAGGTTCATAACTCTAGCGTGACTATTTCTAGAATTATTTCCCTTGATCTTGGAATTTATTTTAACAAATGTTTTTTTTTTACTATAACTTAATACATAATTAAACATAATTGATTTTTCTTTCATAGTTTTGTCCTCCTTACTGCATCCAGTATTTTATTACTCGAGCTTGGCTGTCTCCTGTGACAGCTGTTGTTAGCTTTCTTATTTACGAAGAACACCCAATATGCACTCTAACCTATACTTAGCATTACAGTTACATTCTAGGTGCAAAATTGAAAAATGACCCTTTTTAAACAGCCTGTAACATTATTATTTTATATATGTGATAAATAGAATATTGTATTTGTTTAGATTCAGTACTAATTTTATTTAACTCAGAGGCAGAAATAAATTATTATTTATTCAACTATGAACTTGTAAAGTAAATTTAATATTAAACATACACTTATTCTATTTTCCGTATTTTTTATATACTTGTAAATGAAATATTGATTGAAATAAAATGCATATTTTTCTTTTCTGTAATTTCGCTGCAGTGAATATATTTTCAATATTGTACTTGTGTCCTACCAGACTACTTTCTTCTAAATTCAGGCAATACACACAGTTAAAGGGAAAGTCTTTTAAATCAATGAGTACAATTGGAAGAGAAACGTATATAATAAGCAGAAAATACAAGTTTTTTCTACAAATAATTGTGATTAATTTTACCCCCAAAAACGAAGTTTGGGGGGGTATATAGGAGTCAACGGTGGTCGGTCGGTCGGTCCAGACGTCCGTTGCATTTTCCTTGTCCGGACCATAACTTGAAGACTAATGGTTGGAATTCAATATAACTACATACAATGGTCAAGCACATTGAGAGGAAGTGCAGTGCACAAGAACCATAACTCTATCTTGACTAATTACAGAGTTATTGCCCTTTGTTACTTTTCCTTGTCCGGGGCATAACTTGAAAACTACTGGTTGGAATTCAAAACAACTTCATACAATTGGCAAACACAATAAGGGGAAGTGCAGTGCACAAGAACCATAACTCTATCTAAAGTAATTACAGAGTTATTGCCCTTTGTTACTTTTCCATTGCTTTCTTATGTCCGGACCATAACTTGAAGACTAATGGTTGGAATTCAATATAACTACATACAATGGTCAAGCACATTGAGAGGAAGTGCAGTGCACAAGAACCATAACTCTATCTTGACTAATTACAGAGTTATTGCCCTTTGTTACTTTTCCTTGTCCGGGGCATAACTTGAACACTACTGGTTGGAGTTCAAAACAACTTCATACAATTGTCAAACACAATAAGGGGAAGTGCAGTGCACAAGAACCATAACTCTATCTAAAGTAATTACAGAGTTATTGCCCTTTGTTACTTTTCCATTGCTTTCTTTTGTCCGGACCATAACTTGAAGACTAATGGTTGGAATTCAATATAACTACATACAATGGTCGAGCACATTGAGAGGAAGTGCAGTGCACAAGAACCATAACTCTGTCTTGACTAATTTTACAGAGTTATTGCCCTTTGTTACCTTTCCTTTAACTTGAAAATTACTGGTTGGAATTCAAAACAACTTCATACAATTGTCAAACACAGTAAGGGGAAGTGCAGTGCATAAGAACCATAACTCTATCTAAAGTAATTACAGAGTTATTGCCCTTTGTTACTTTTCCATTGCTTTCTTTTGTCCGGACCATAACTTGAAGACTAATGGTTGGAATTCAATATAACTTCATACAATGGTCAAGCACATTGAGAGGAAGTGCAGTGCACAAGAACCATAACTCCATCTTGACAAATTACAGAGTTATTGCCCTTTGTTACTTTTCCTTGTCCAGAGCATAACTTGAAAACTACTGTTTGGAATTCAATACAACTTCATACAGTTGTCAAGGACATTAAAAGGAAGTGCAGTGCATAAGAGCCATAACTCCATTTTGACAAAATACAGAGTTACTGCCCTTTGATACTTTTCCTTGTCTGGAGCATAACTTAAAACGTACTGGTTGAAATTCAAAACAACTTCATACAATGGTCAAGCACAAAAAGAGGGAGGAAGTGCAGTGCACAAGAACTATAACTCCATCTTCAGTATTTATAGCGTTATTGCCCTTTTTTCCTTTTCTTTGTATTTCTGGACTTATTACAGAGTAATTCAATAAAACTTCTTCAATGGTCAACCACATTGAAAGGAAATGCAATATACAAGAACCACAACTATCTTTAATTGCCCACAACCATAACTCTATATTTCAATTCTTTTACAAGGTATTCTGTTACTAGTAACATCCTCATTTCCGAAGCAGTCTTGTGGGGGTATTAATCACATTTAGTGATAGTTCTAGTTTTCATTGAGTTGTATGACTAAGATAATTTTCATACCACAAAATTTGAATATCCTGTATTAAATTAAATAATGAGAAATTTTTATGAAATTAAAAGCATATTTTCATTTTCCTATATTTTCACTGTAAAAAATAAAAATATTTTTGTTTGTTTGATTGCCAGGGTTTCATGCCACACCGACACAGTATAGGTCAAATGTCAACGTTTCAGCTTTAATGGTGAAGGAAGACCTCATGCAGCCTGTGATGCAAGGTGCCCTTTCAAGTATTATTTCAGACACGAACGGGCACCTGAGTAGAACCACCAACGTTCCGTTAGGTATTAATATACATTTTTACTGTAGTGAATTATATTTTCACTGGTGTCTTACTTGAAATACTTTCTTTTAAGTCAGACAATGCATATATTAAATGTATATTATATTAAATGGGAAGCACTTTGAATTGTAAGGTCAAAAAAGAGAAAAGTATATAATAAATAGAAAAAAAACCAAGTTGTTAACTTAATAATATAAATAATAACAGGATTTATTTTCATTATATTACATTATTTAATCTATTGCTACAGGATATAAATCACTGGACCTGTTAGCAGTAGCTTCTGAAAATGTGACATAGTAGCAACAAGTTGTGAAGCTTATCTTACAGAATGAACAATTGATGAGAGAAACATCAACAAGATCTTCACAACAACTGGAATGTTCAGCAGATCTCATATTAAGCTTCCATGCATCAAAAGTGACCAAATACAAGGATAAATGTGTTTAATATACAGGATTTATTTAATAATTCCTTAGGACAGTATTCTAATCTTTCTTGTGCCTGACTACAAAACTTGTCCATTTTCAACCAAGAAAAAACTTAAAATGTTCAATGATTCTTTCTCTTGAAGATCAGTTACTTCTTATCCTAGTTAAACTGTGTCAAAATTTGGACTTTGTTCATTTAGGCAAACTATTTAAAATATCATCCCAGGACTGTAGCACATTGTTTTCTGACTGGATTCAGTACATGTATTTCAGATTTTCAACTGTGTCAATTTGGCCTCACACCATTATTGGACACATGTCAAGGAAATTGAGAAAGGAATCTCCTAATACTTCAGTTATTAGTCCCCTACCGGTTTACCGGAGGGGACTTTAGGTTTACCCTCCGTCCGTCTGTCCGTCCGTCAGTCCGTCCGTCCACAAAACTGGATCCCGCGATAACACAAAAAGTACTGAAAATATTTTAATGAAACTTGGTATATGGATAGATGGCAGTATGGAGATTATGCACGTCTTTTTCTTTTCTTCCTATGTTGAAAATTCTGGTTGCTATGGCAAAAATAGACTGAAAATATGGCAAATTTTACACATAACCTGGATCCCGCGATAACGCAAAAAGTACTGAAATTTTTTTTATGAAACTTGATATATGGATAGATGGCAGTATGGAGATTATGCACGTCTTTTTCTCTTTTTTCCTATGCTGAAAATTCTGGTTGCTATGGCAACAAATAGACTGAAAATATGGCAGATTTTACACATAACCTGGATCCAGTGATAACGCAAAAAGTATTGAAAATATTTTTATGAAACTTGACATATGGGTAGATGGCAGTATGGAAATTATGCACATCCTTTTCTTATCTTCCTGTGTTGAAAATTCTGGTTGCTATGGCAACAAATAGACTGAATTTCAAGATTTCTGATTCTAGTTTTTAATTTTTTTCACTATAACTTCTTTATTTCTTAAGGTATTTTCTTCAACTTTAAAAATAAGTTGCTAGTCATCAACCACATCATATGTGACAAAGTTTACAACTCTAGCACAAAATTTATCAGAATTACCTCCCTTGAACTTAAAATTTTCATGAAAAAAAAACATTGTTTTTTTTTAATAACTTCTTTTTTTCTGAACGTATCTACTTCAAACTTCATATAAATTTCTTATATCACTCAACATTTGTGAGTGTTCAATACTCTAGCAAGACTATTTCCAGAATTATGCCCCTTTTGAACTTAGACTTTTTTTTGAGAAATTGGTAATTTTTACTCCAACTTCTTCAATCATGATAGAATTTTCTTCAAACTCCCACATCATTATAATATGACAAGGTTTATAAATCTAGCATCCATATTTCCAGAATTATCTCCTCCTTAAACTTTTAATTTTTCCTATTTGTTCTTTTAACTTTCATTTACTTCAATTTCAAAATAAATATTCAATATTCATACCTTCATTACTAATTGTTCTTTGTTACACTCACATCATGTATGACATCGTTATCTCCTTTTTTTAAAAATTTTGCTTTTAAAATGTTATATTTTGATAACAGGGATGTTTAAAAAAATAACTTTAGACTGTCCTTCAGTCCGTCTGTCTGTCTGTTCCCTGTGATCACTTTTAAAGAACTTTTTCAACAAATTTACTTAAAATAGAAACATAAGTGAATGGCCAATGGCCCTTCAGAATGTTGCTTGGGCTCTTACCGGTAGGGGACTTATGGATTGCTTGCAATACTATGATAATTGCTTGTTATTTATGGAACTTCAACTCACCAAAGTCAATGCTACTCTGACTATAAATCTTGTAAAACATTAAAGTGTCTTGTTGGCATAGACCCTCGTGGATCTATTATATTTTCTTGTATGTTGTTAACCGGAACAGAAAACATGCCAAAGTGGTTTTATAATGTTATAGAAAGTCATTTAAAAACAGGGAAAGTATTGCCTGAAGATGGAGTTATTTCAAAAAAGAATTTCAGCTTACTGAAATCAAATCTGTATCATTCACAGACTCACAGTTTTCATGATATCATTCACAGATGTAATTGTTGCTGAACATTTTGTTAGGACTGTGCATTTATTGATTCTGTTATTTTGAAAAATGCCATAACAGTTAATAGTTGACTGTTTTATTCTTTATGGTATACTCCATGATCTAATATTAATTGCTTCACTAAAATAGTTCAAGGTTCACTGCAGTGAATTACTTTTGGCAGTCTGACCAAATTTCTGGCAGTTTAATGAAAACAACAAATCATAAAGTTAAAAAACAGAAAATGTATATAATAAACAGAAAATTCAAGTTTTTTTTTCTATTAATACAATTTTTATTTTCGGGCTTCTGCCACTCATGAAATACTTGTTTTCATACCACTGAATGAAAATATATCCTATATTAATTGAAAAACTTGAATATCCTCTATATATCTCACACAGACCAGAGAAAATATTGGCATTTTCACTAGGCACTGGAGAAAATATTCATTTCTCTCACTTCTTATTGTGATAAAAAGCATATTCACTGGAATCTGATAAATATCATCTAGATGTATTAATGTAGACCATTGCTAATAATACTGTATACTTCCTGATTCATTTACATGAAAATTGTGACTATGGGTTATTATAAGAGCTGTCATTGATTCCATGTAAATCAAATTAATGATGAATGACAAACCTCGATACACCAATATACCGTAAAATTCCTATTAAATGCCCCCGAAGGCTAAACATTTTCCAAAAGGGGGGCTTTTATTACAACACAGTTTTTCCTAAATCCAAAAATCGCTGTAAATACATTTAGTGTTAGCAAGTGTTAGTAATAACATTAAAAAGTGTTAAGGTTTTAAAGTTCATATTATACATAGTTGTGTTTACTATAAAATAAAATGGATTCTGAATGATTTGAATAAAATTATGGCTTTAATTATGAGTTCAGAACTGATGAGTAGATTGTTTTCCTTATCAGAAAGCCGGGGGCGGGGGAGCTTTATTAGGGGAGGGGGGTTTATTAGGAATTTTACGGTATTTATAATTACTTCTAATTAATTAGTCAAAATTATCAATTTTTCAAACATGTATTGATCATTGATCTGCAGAAAATACCATCAATAGCTTTATCTGCATCTATCACAGGTCTAGTAAAAGTGGCTTTTTCAGTTTTTGTGCTGTACTGTTGCTGTATTAGTAACATCTACTATTGACATTATAAAAATAATACATAGGTTTGTGAGTAACAGTATCAATATCACCCCTAGCAAAAATCACTGTTACCCTAGGCTAATTTTTTCCAGATTTTTACTGTTACCTATGTAAAACAAACTTTTTAGTCACATGGTACACATGAATTGACCTATGGGAAATCAATATTACAAGTAAATATGAAAAAAAAAACACTTGTTATGTTCATGATGAAAATTAAATGTAGCTGAACTGTTGTTGTTGTTATTAATTATTTTTCATGTGAAATTATATTCTAATTTGCAGTCACACTTCAAATACCATTAAATATTATGCTGTCAAAATGTTGTATTCAATAGTAAAATACAAATGTAATATGGTGATCTGAATGACCTGAGGATGAAGTTATTGAAATACACTAGTTTCAGCATAACCAGCACTTACATGGTATCCAAGAGCAGCACTGGTTGGAACATCTCTATACTGTGATGGTGAAAATACAGTGCTGGAACTGAGTTGCTCAACAAGATAAGAGATCTGTGACTATCTTTTCTATTGGTATTACTTGGCTTGGCCATGATCATGGTGGACACAGGCTCTGGTTTGATACGTTCACCCAAGGGCTTGTTACACTGCTGTGGCAGGCTTGACAACATGGCTGGAACTTGCTTATAATCCATTTTCTACTGCTCCAACAGTAACAGCATGGAAACACCATGTGAGCAAGGTCTGCTTTTAACCTGACAGTGTTATAATACAAGATAAGTTGAGACAATGAAGATAATCCAACATGTAACCTATCAAACAATACAAACAACTTTGGCCGATAATATTGTATTTTTAAGAACCCCAAATATGAGTCATATTTTTATATTACGTTATGCAATTATTTAATTATTTTGTATACATATTTTACTTCATGTAGTTTTACAGTAACTACTTCTGATAGACATTCTTAACATGTCAAACAAACAAATATTATTAAATAAACACATTTTGGTTAAGCCTTAGGAACCACTTCAGGTCTTTTTAACACTTTTCTTTGTTATACGCCCGTTTGAAAAACGGGACGTATTATGGGAACGCCCCTGGCGGGCGGGGGCGGTGGCGTCCAATTTTTGTCCGGAGCATATCTCCTACATGTATGGAGGGATTTTCATGAAACTTCATAGAAATGTTCACCACTATGAGGAGCAGTGTCACGCACATGAACCAGGTCTCTAGGTCAAAGGTCAAGGTCACACTTAGAGCTCATTGAAAAATGCTTGTCCGGAGCAAAATGTATAGAGGGATTTCAATATTACTTGGCACAAATGTTCACCATTGTGAGGCAGAGTGTCGCG